CACTTAACATAAAACAAGATTACTAGGCGTTAAAAACGCCTCACACAAAAAGCCTTGGTTTCTTGGCAGTTTCTTCTGACTTTGAAGAATCACTATCGGTTTCTTCTTCAACATGGGGCTACTAGAATAGTTGGCTGCAGTCATGATCAGAAAAAGATTTGGTGTACAGCTCCAATTTTTGGTGCACCCTGAGTATTTCGAGACCTGATTTGTAGTTTTCATCAAAGCGGGCAAAACAATGGACAGGAGTGAGTGTGATTCGTTGTTGGTTTAATCAAGGACATTGTCCTTGATAATGTCCTTGGTTTAATACACTCAGATTCACACTCACAGTCGCACTTCAATATCATCTAAATGACTGAAAAGAAAATCAAACACAGTTTTTATTCTTTTACAAGTTACAAGAGCATTCGCAAAACAACCTATGCAGTTGACTCCATATTCAGTTGAACCAAGGAGCTTATACTAGTTATAGTTATAGGGCAACTAGATAAAAAGGACAAAATAATGTATTTTACAGACAGTACGTTGCAAATTATCTGCACAGTCACCTTACCAGGCATGACATATTTTTGTAGATCAACAAAGAAGTTAGGAAGTTATTTTATAGTGATTCATAGATGGAAAGAAAGTAACCTTGAAGTGTGGTATATAACAACTGAGAGAAACTGGCTAAAATGCAACTGATCCTTTTGTTATGCAAATAAATGAATGAACTTGTTTACTTTACAACACTTGCTTGTTAACTTTACAGTAACCAACTAATCACTTGTGGTAAAAATGTTGTTTCAGAAAAATTTTGAAAAGGAAAATTAAGATTTCCTACTACTGCATCTATATTTGCATGTAAGAAAGAAAAAAATCTATCTGCACTTTATCCTATATAGCATGACTAATTCGAGGAGTGCACAAACCAGATGGCTGGCAGTATAAACTTCCTGGCACTTATAACCTGATGTCCATAAGGTCTGACATGGTGTGGGACAGTTGAAAATTTGATGCGTTAACTTAGAGCAAATTTTATCTCTGTACTACAGTATGTACAACGATTCTTATGTAGACTATATGAGAGTGGTATGCATATTGAATCTATGTTTTTGATTGTATGAAATATTTATAATGTCCTTTATCCAGCAAAAAATCATTCTCCAACCTTCAATTAAACATCTAAGACTGTTCAGAGAGATAAAATCCAAACCATAAAATGCTGAATACACCCAATACCACTCCAGTCTGGTTCCAACCCGGGTTTGTTTGACCCCAACCCCCTGTCCGTTCCAGATTTGGTTGACCCAACCCCCCCTGTCCGTTCCAGGTATTTGACCCAACCCCCCTGTCCAGTCCAGGTATTTGACCCAACCCCCCTGTCCAGTCCAACCTCTTCCGCCCCCCATTCTCCTTTATTTTTTGGAATAGCCCATTGGCCGTGCAAGCCTATAGAATGCCCCACTTGCGACATAAATTTCTGAGGCTTATCGTGCGCATCGTGCGTATCCACAATTATTCCCATCGTAAACATAGTCACTGGGATCTGAAATGCATACATACAGGATAATTTCCCTTCTTCAGCGGGAGTTTTGTTTATGTTTTGATCGTACACGTCAAACTGCCACGCTGGTCTACGCTGCGCGCTGGTCTCGGCTGCACTTCTGGGTTCCATAAATTGACACCATAAATCGGCAAAGAAACAAATATTTCCCCCAAAATTTATATTAATTGTGCACTTTTTCACTAGATGTGGCTATGCAGTCCTGGAAAACAGCGTTTTTTCAAACAGAAAAATCGCGTCCCCGCGCCCTTCATGTTGCCGCCCGGCGAACTCAGCTGAAGCGAACAACCAATCAGAGACGCGTAACGCGGATACGTCATGCAAGATTTGCATATACCGCCCGCCCACCGCTTCTGCTGCCATGCTAGCTACGCGCCGTACTTGAAGTAAATTGACGTGTATCGCCGTATTTCTGGAAATAAATGCCGCGACACGAAGATCTAGCGCTGACTCGGCTTGCACCCAGCGTTCAGCGTCACCCGCGCCATTACCCCCGCCGTCATCCCGCGCCGTCATTGCTGCGCCGTCACCCAACGTTTTTATCGGAACCAGACACCCCTCTGTTTGACCCCTTTTAAATGGTAAGACCCAAAACTGAAACCTCCCCATTCCTTAACAACATGGTAAATTCCATTTTCAGCATGGCGGGGGTGTCCGGAGCACTTAAAAACCTTTTATTTCCACGCCCATAAACACATATGCAATTAAACAAAAACGTTCTGCATCATCTGCAGCCCAACAGCAATACGTATACCGAACCACAGACCAATCCGTCCAGCCGATCGCGAGAAACAGCTGCTGACAGAAATGTTTCGAACAATAGTAAAACCTCCTCGCGGAAGGATATCTCCTTCCCCGGAGGTAATAACTTTTCAACTTTGAATCAAACTACTGCATTGTTTAATAGGAAAAAATGTAACAGCTAGGGCTAAAATATGAGCATGTATGAGTTGATTCAGAACCTTTATCCTTTTTTTGGGGGGGGGCAAGTCATGAAGCGTTTCAATCCTAGAATCAATAATGATAAAATTGATGTGGCCTTACCTTGATGTGGTCTATACTAGATGACAGTGGCAGCAATACTAGTGTTTTCTTCCTTTGAAGATAGCATTTTTAAGTGAAATAGAGGGATTTATTAGGTTAGTACATGTCCGTTCTATCTCTACACTGTATCTGCATGTC